TAATATAATATAATATAATATAATATAATATAATATAATATAATATATGTGTGTATGTATCTATACACACATATATATGTATGTATTGTGTATCAATGAAAAGGTGTTGAAACTTTTTAGCATCATCAAATTCACTACAAATAAAAAGAATAATTTTATATAAGGTGAAATTACATTAACAGGCAGTTATGGTGACACATGTCTGTAATCCCAGTACTTGAAGACTGAGACAGAAAGATTTCAAGTCTGGGGCCAGCCTGGCCTACAAAACAAAACTCTAACCAGTATTTTAAAAATGAAGACCACTTATATGAAAGGTATTCTGAATTATCAGAAGAAGGCTTTTGTAGTAAAAATAGGTAACCCAAACTTTCTGCCTTACCTGGAAATTATCCGCTTCTTATTGGGTATGTTAGTCACTGGGGCTGTGATAAAACACCAGGAGCAAAAACAACTTGGAGAAAGGTTTATTTGGGCTTTCGGTTCTGAAGGGGGTGTGTGTGATGGCAGGAGAGGATTGGTAGCAGTAGCCAGAGAGATCTCATGCTGAATCTCAAACACCAGGCAGGAGGGCAAACCGGAAGTGGGGTGAGACTGTGAACAATCAAAACTGCCCCCTGCTGACCACACTTCTTTCAGCAAGGCTGCACAACTCCCCGAGCAGCATCACCAAACAGCAGACCACAGGGGACTGAGCCTGGAGGGGACTTTTCTCAGCCAAACTGCCACACAGGGCACGAGTCTCCAGCTCACCAGCGGTGCTCATGCCTCAGTAAAGGGCATTTTCCTTCAGTTAAGCTTAGCTTGGGGCATAGAGATGGAGACTGCTGCTCAGTGTGTTTCCTGCAGCCTCCCTGCCTGACACAGCTTTCGCACCCGACGCTGGGGAGTGCCTGACTTGGGCACAGACTCGCTTGTGGTTACCCTTCCTGTACAGGGATACAAACTCTTCCCCAGTTAAACTCCTGCCTACCGTCTGTTCAGGAAGAAAAGAAGCCTAGGGGCTTGTCCGGAATGAGCACACTTCCCCGGAAACAGCATGCATGTTGTCATAACAGTTATCCCAGGTGGATAAGGGCCTCCCTTACCGAAGTCAATGACAAAATGTGCCAAGTAAAATAATTTACCAAAGGACCCAAACTTACCAATTACCAGACTTTTCTAACCAAAGCAGAGTTACCAAAGCCCTGTAACCCAAGCCCACAGTTACAGCTTAGTTCATCTAATCTTGGTGGAGTTTTTTTTTTTTTTCCATATGTTTTCAATTAGCTTTTGAGAGCCTTACCCAGTCCAGATTCTTAGATCTTCTGCTGTGGGAGTTGGGGATAATCATCAGAGAAGCGTGGCTTATCTTTTCCATGCCTTACCTAATGGTCATCATAAACAAATTACCTTTTCCAATCACATTTGTTTCTAAGAAGACTTTTTTATTAGCATATACTAACTGTATGTACATGGGTTCCACTGTTACATTTTCATGCAGGCATATGAAGCCTTTTTCGATCATATTCACCCACTGTTACTCTCTCTTGTCCCCCTTTTACTCCTGCTGATCCCCTTCACGTCCCCAGGTAGCCCGTCCACTCTCATGTCTGTTTGTTTACTGTTTGCTCATAAGTCAACAAGTTTAATTAAGTTAATTATAGTCACGTGGGTGAGGTTATTTATTTACAGGGACACAGGCAGCTTCCCGCTGACAACACCACTGAAGACAGTGACTCTCCCTCCCTCAGCCATCATTAACTGCCTCTAGGTCCTAAGGGAAGGAGCAGCCTCCTGACCCCCAACCCCCAGCAGTCCTTAGTTGTCTATAAACCCTAGAGGAGGGGCAGGAGCTGACTAAGTCCTTCCTCCCTCCATAATACATCTTGACAGGCCCAATCCTACAGGTAGTCACAGCTGCTGAGAGTTGGAGGATGCAGTAGTTAAAATGTGCCAGGAAGACAGCATTCCACTATTCTCCACACCTTTCTCTGGCTCTGTCATCACCAAATACCACTCAAGTATGGGGAGTCGGCCTTTTGCAGCCTCACAGTGGTGGAAAGATTGCAACTCTCACCTACAGAGCTACCCTGATTTAGCCTGCTTTGTGCACTGAAATCCTTAGACAACTAAAAATGGGGAAAAGATGGGGTACAACTCACTGAGCTCTGCTGGTCCTTCTACAGATGAGCCAGTGGCTGCCCAAGAAATAGAAGAACTTCCTGGGGCACAGGGCAAGAAAGATATACATTGAACACTAGAGCTTAACTCTCTGGACTCCTGCCCTGTGCTTCTTTGACTTTAGCACTTTAAAACAGTGCAGAGACTAGATGTTTACAAAGAATGGGCCGTTGCTGAAGAATGTTTGGGCAGCCTTGTTTCTGGGGATCATAGGAATGGGAGGGGCCAGAAAGTTAGTATTTTCTGGACTCCGGATATGAGGTATCTGTGTGAAATGCAGATGATGCCAGGCAGACATAAGAAACTTGTAGGAGAGACCAGTGACCCTAACAAGGAGAATTCAAAGACAGACATATTTCTTCCTGGCTACTCATGTGCAGTCTGTGTAATTGCTCATGGGAGTAATGCTGCCTTTGACTTGGCTCTCAAATTAGGAGCTAAAGACAATTCCAACTTCTGATAAAACTCAGATTTCCATGTGCAAGCAGCCGTCTGGCTTTAGCAGACACATCCAGAATGATATTATCCCGTGAGTCTGTGTCAGGACTGTGTGCTGTCTTACAGTTGGGAATGCAGTAATTACATTTGTGGCTGTTCCTTGTGCAATGATATCATTTGCTTCCAACACAAACCTGGACTGTTTGTGTATTAGAATGCATGATCCGTCAATTTAGCTGGAGAGCAGAGCCAGAGTGGGCCACCATTCTGCTCTCTTCTCCTTTGAGGAAAAGAGTAATGATTTCATACTTTTGGCAACTGTATGAGAAGTTCACAAGACAAAATTCCCAAGCTTATTCCTGGCAGCTTCAGCCAGGACAGAGGCTAAGAATTACCCCTGTAGGATGCAAGACACACCTTGTGGGTGGAGCTCATATTCAGGGAAGATTTTAGACTTTTGGTCTTTAAATTGGGGTGCCGGTAGAATCATCTGGGGGAGATGGTGAATCAGACCTATTCAAGGCTCCACTCACAGAGCTACTAGGGGTCTATGGCTGGGTCAAATGGCTAGGTTGGGTGTAACTCAGTTGGTAAAGTGGTTGCCTGGCTTATTCAAAGTCCTGATCTCAATCAACATCCCACTGACTGGGTGTGGTGGGGTCCCCACACTTGGGAGGTAGAGACAGCAGGAGCAGGAGTTCGAGGTTATCCTTAGGTACATAGTGAACTTGAAGCCAGATGGAATTCATGAGAGTCTATCTCCAAAAGAGGAGTGCTACCCCTAGAGCTCAAAGCGCAAACCGTATGTATACTGCCCCGTTAGGACACAGGGAAGATACGGGGCTACTTTATACTTAGAGATGCTTAATGGCCTCAGCAGCCATAATTAGAGGTTCTGTGGGTGTGTCTGGGAGCCCCTCCTCCACCCAGAACCCCACAGCCCTAGCTATTCCCAAGGTTATGAATAAGAAGTTTTCTAATCATGGCCTCTCTTGTCTAGCTCTGGCGGAAATTCGCCCGTCTGGCCTGTAACTTTGTGGTCATTTTCATCCCCTGGGAAATGAGAATAAAGAAAATTGAGAGTAAGTATTCTCCAGAGGAGAGGGGAGGGAGTGACAAAACTGTGGCCAGCACACGGCCTGAGACATCTGCTAGGCCTTGGCCATCATGGAGTAAAATGAGCCCAGGGCACTTGGACATCCAGAGGCCCTGCTCATGTGGGACTCAGAGGTGAAGATCTGGTACCCTAGCCACCCCCCAGGATGGGAAGAATCCCCATGCTGCCTTTCCACATTCCTCCATTGTCCCGTATTCATTCCTACTTCATTCAGTCAGTCAGACAGCAGACGCCAAAGGATCAGTGAAAACTGTCAGGATAAGTAAGGTAGTAATTTCAAGGTATAAACATTAAAGTATATGTTTTTATAGAAAAGACTGTAAGGATTTAGAAAATATGTGCTAAAAAGAAATAAATAAAAAAAAATCATACCCCAAATCCCTTTCTCTCCCCCCATCTCCCACACACAGAGGAATAAACAAGCTTTTAAAAGTCCCAAAGTACAGAAAAGCATGAAGTTAGAGCCAAGATGGTGATGTTCTTGTGAACAGACTATTGTGAAGGAGAATATTTATTTGAAGTTGTAGACTCTCTCAAAAATCAGTTTCCAAGTTCAACACAATTCCACAATATCCTCACTGAATTGCATTGAGCCCTTGATCAAATGACCATAAAAAGCAAGGAGAAAAATATCCAAGGATTAACTGTGGAGATGGGAGTAAGAAAATATTCCTGAGAAATTGCATGACCAAAAGGTTAAAATAAAACACATTATTAAAAGCTAAGCAACCAAACGGCACAGTCCAACACGGTGGAGGAATTGACCAGCATTCAACAGAAAAGGCAAACACTTCAGAAACAGGAGCGCAGACCACTCCTGCTCCCAGCTGTTGCTGGAGTCAGTAGAAATTACTCTGTAAATATCGCTGAGGCAAATCTAGTCTTTTCGTTTTAATATTCTACTAAACAAACATACGACTGTGTGGCCAGCAATCATGAAAATCATTACAGAAAATATAAGAGATGAGCATGGAGACCTGCTCAGCATGAATGTGAATGAGGAAAAATTATTTAGAAACCTCTTTATAATTTAATTATTGGAGGAAACACTTTTTGAAGATTTGTCTGTTTTCCAGTGCCTGGGTGTGTTGCCCACATGTACGTGTCTGTACACATGCATGCAAGTGACCCACAGAGGCCAAAAGAACATGTCTGGAAGTAGAGTTACAGATGATTGTGAGCGACTACGTGGATGCTGGGAGTCACGCTCAAGTCCTCTGGAAGAGCAGCCAATGCTCTTACCCGCTGGGCCATCTCTCTACCCTCCGAAAATAGATTGTATATATCAAAAACCAGATGGAAAGTCAGAAAAATCATTTCCAATATTTCCTATCCAATACTTCAATGGAGTTAAAGGCTCTCTTTAAATTTAGAAGAAGTGTGTAAATACAGATCATTACAAAATTTCTACATTCCCTTTATCTGGCTCCCCCAGTCAACACCATGATAGTTTTAAGTTGGAATTAAGACAAAGAACCCAAGAGAAATCTTGGAATAGTCAAAGTAATGCAAAATAGGAGAGAGAGAAAAAAAAAAAAACAACACATGAAAGTCTCGTAAGTTGCTAACATTATAAAATGTACATGAGTTAGTAAATTTGACTCAGCAGATTAGCTGAGCACAGCCCTGGAGAGATTGTCAGTGTTTTGGTAAATATGAGCTGGCCTTTCTGTCTGTCGAGCCAGAGACCAGGCACCACAGGATGCTGACCCAGCTAAGCTGCCAGTGTGTATGTGTGTGTGTGTGTGTGTGTGTATGTGTGTGTGTGTGTATGTGTGTATGTGTGTGTGTGTGTGTGTGTGTGTGTGTGTGTGTGTGTGTTGGGGTTGGGGCACCAATATAACATCACTCTTCCTGTGTGTCGCTGGTGAAGGTGAATGACTCTGCTACTGGGTGTAGGCTTTCTGCGCCCTGAGGGTTCAGCAGAGCCACTCCGCTGTCTTTTCATAGGTCACTTCGGATCTGGTGTGGCCTCCTACTTCATCTTCCTGAGGTGGTTATTCGGGATTAACATAGTCCTCACGATGATGACTGGTGCGTTTATTGTCATTCCCGAGGTAAGCATTGTCCCAGGGGCTGGGAGGTGCAAGGCATAAAGGGCAGGTAGGGACTACCACCTGCTGCCCTCAGGGTCATGCTAGGAAGGCTGTGGCAGGCTCTCTACAAAAGCACACGGTGAATGTGTCAGACTAAGTCACCGCCACTCACGTTTGCCATGAATCCCAAACAGTTTGAGCACAGCCTAGACCAGTGAGGGTGGCTGAAATCTGAATTTCCTATCATGTTGTTTTTCTTTTATTCTCCCCGACTGCTTAATGATGTAAAAACTGTTTGTATCCATATCACTCAGGTGATAGACTGTATTTGGCTTCCATACTAATTTGCCTACACAGTATTCCAACTAAACTCCTTCCTTATAAACAAATAGAGCCATTCATTTCCTCAGGGCATAAGAGGTCCAGCCACAGAAGCCATTTGCAGTTCCTTCAAATGGGCTTACATAGTAACAGGGCGGGCAGGTAACACAGAAAGCTCAGTCACACATTACTTTCCCGTTGAAGAGAATCAAGCAAAAGTCCTAGGTGTAAGTCCCTAGGAAACCATCTTGGCATCTCGACAGACATGTGTGGAGCCGCCAATCCTTTTACCTGGTCCTCTAGCCCAGAAAAACATGCCAACCCTTTCTCTCCCACCAGCTGATCGCAGGCCAGCCCTTTGGAAGTACCACCAGCAAGACCATCCCCCAGGAGCAGATCACGTCTGCACAAGATCTGGACACGGTCTGGTCCCTGGGGGTAAGACTGGTGCTGGCTACACCCAGGCCTTTGGGGAGGGGAGGGGGCAGGAGAGCTGCAGTTCTGGGGCGTGGAAACCAGAAACAACTCAGTACTCTCTTTGCAGGGCTACCTTCAGTATTCCGTCCTGTTCTACGGGTACTATGGAAGGGAGAGGCGGATCGGGAGAGCCGGCTACCGCCTGCCCTTGGCGTATTTCCTGGTGGGGATGGCAGTGTTTGCTTACAGCTTCATCATTCTCTTAAAAAAGTATGACTGCCGATTTCTCAAAACCTTGTCAGGAGTCATTAGAACACGTGCACCTCGTCCTGTCAATAGCCCTGTTAAAGTTAGGAGTCACTGTGGCAGTTTTATAAAGGAAGAGACCAAGGCTCAAGAGTTATGTTAATCTTAGCCAGCGCTTACTCTAAGGTGATTACTTTGCTCAAAGCTTTGTGAGGGGTCTGGTTTAGACAATGCACTAAGATATATGATCGGTGACCTCTCTAGGTGACTAGGGAGGAGGTCCCAGTAGAAAAGAAAGCAAACTGGCTAGAGTTAAGAGTCCTGTGAGCTACCAACTTCACCCACAGCCCCATGGCAACACACTTTTCCTCTGTACACACATTGGCTCAGAAAAGCATCAGGCTCCCTTCCAGGTTAACATTCTATGCTTCTATGCTTCTGTGTAAAGCTAGGGGGCAAATACATAGATGTCAGAAGAGCCTAGGGAGAGCCTGGACCCCATTACCTCATCTCTTGCCCTTGGTCCACTTTATGCTTTCACTATTGCCACGCCTCCTAGAGTGGCCAGGCAGCAAAGTGCCCGTGGAGGGGCTTGGGTTCAGAAACTACATAGCAAATAAATAGGCAAATCCAGAAACATTGAAGAGAAGTACAGTGACTTGAAAGGTTGCTTCAGATGACCAAAGGCTCTCCAGCTTAGCTCCCGGTGGCCTCAAGATCTCTCCAGAACAACTTCAATCATTTATGTGAGAGCAAGAAAACTAACTAGGGCATTAATAAGCTTTCTAGCCAAAGCTTATTACTGGAGATGTGGCCTAAAGGACAGAGAGGGGGATTCTGGTCTTCAGATATATAAAAGAATTTTCTATGTAGGGGAGACTCAGCAGTCTTGGGATCCCATGGGGAGGAATTACCATAAGCAGAAGCTTCGGGAATGAGGCTTCAGCCCAGGAAGAGGATGACGACTTCATCATCGAAGCTGCAGACATGAGACCTCCCTGGACGAGCGTACCTCAATGGCTGCTGGCCACCACAGCGCTGGTGGTGTGCGGTCACATGAGGGACTCATGTGATAATGACCGCTGCCATTTTCACCCAGATGAAAGAATGGGCGGAGGGTCCAAGGGTGATTAAAGTCCGCCAGTGCTCTGTGCCAAGCAGGGACTGAGCAGCTGTGTCAGGACAGCTTTACCCAGGTCTCGTGAGTGGCTCCATGTCAGTTTGTGGCACCCCAGAGGGGGTGATTGATCTCATCCCTGACACCCACTCCTGTGACCTGACTGCGGCCTCTCTTGCAGAATGGCTAAGAACTCCCGCACCAGCCTGGCCAGCGCTTCCAATGAAAACTACACCTTCTGCTGGAGGGTTTTTTGTGCCTGGGATTACCTCATTGGGAACCCAGAGGCTGCAGAGAGCAAAACAGCCGCCATTGTGAACAGCATTAGGGTGAGGCCCCACTGCTCCCTTCCCTCCCAGGCTCAGGGCAACAGGTTCAAAGAGGTGAACATGACCGGAAAAGGCACCTAAAATGTAGAGAAGCCTTATTTTGAGAGCTAGAATATTTCCACAATTCAAAGTATCAGTCTTTTCTCTCTACTCTTTCTTCCGAAACTCAATTCTTTTGCTTAATTGACTATGTAATTCATTGCTATCAGTAGAAAATTACAGAAAAAAAAGTCATAGATGTTGAAGATAAGATTTAAGATAATAGATGAGGGTTTTTGTTTGTTAGTTTTTGTTTTTAGACCCAGCCTGGCCTCACACTTATTATGTGGCCAAGAATGACCCTGAATTCTGGAGCCTCCTAAGGGCTGGTATTACAGGGAATACCAGGGAATGATGCCCAGTTGGATAAATTATTCCTAGTGGTTATGACTGGTTATGAGACTAAACTTCTAATGCTCTATGTTGTTTTTTCCCTCAAGGAAGCCATACTGGAAGAGCAAGAAAAAAAGAAAAACAAAAACATGTAAGTATTAATATGCCCATTCGTTATATTTCACCTAGTTTAATACAAAAAGTTATCAAGTAATCCATATCTTATTTTCGTAATTGTTAGGCAGCTATTCTTTCCTCTTAATGTCCACCTCCTTAGTAATGTGGCCTGGGAGAACTCCATTCCTTTCTACAAAAGTCTTCGGGAGTGTACTTCCTCCTTTGGAACCTGCTGAAACTGGACAGGAGGTCTTAAACTGACCGCTTTCCTGCTCTTTTATTTACATAATGAAATGGCTATTTTTAGTAACAATTTCTAGTTTGCTAAGTGAAAGAAACACATGAGCAGAGTTAGGACTGATTTTATTTAGAAGCAAACCTCTGAATTCAAGGATACAAGATGCAAGTTCAAAGAACATCCCAGTCATAACAGTATCCTTCCTAGATGACCCCCTGGGGGCCCATTTGTTATGAGAGCCTTAAACATAGACCCAAAGCAAGGGCATTGCCATGAAGGGGTGATGGCCCTGTTCTCGTGCCTCATGTCATTGTTGATTTCATAGTCCTTTTGTTCAGTTAAATGTGTGGCTGCTGGGAATGATGAGAGCAGGGGGAGAGAGAGAGCTGTACACAGGCAGTTGGGAGGCGTTGAGTTCTAGCCCTCCCGGGCATGAACCCCAGTAACCCAGAAAGCTGACCCGCAACCTCGTGACTTACATTTCCTCTCCTGGGAAATGGCAGGACAGTCTCCACCAGGCCTCTTAGAGGCCAGAGAACAGGCCCGCCACAGTCATCTGCAGCCTCTGAAAGCACTAACCTCAGTTTGCCTTAATGTCCCTGGCAATGAGGTACAGAGTGTCCATCTTCCTCATCAAATGACTTAAAAGAAGCCTGGAATTTGAAGATGGTAGCCACCTTTAAGTTCATTCCAGATCCAAGAGGCCTTATTCAACAATCCATTGCCGGTGAACCAAATCCTGGTCTTCACCCTCTTCTTCCGAGGAAGACAGAGGTGTAGTAGGTACTCAGGACTTTGAGAGAAACAGAGAAAGAGGAAAATATTATTTGGACATGTCACTCCAGGTCCAATGTGCCTTTACTGGTGTGATCATCAGAAAGAATGGCTGGTGCTTGGCCGTGGGGAGCCAGCCCTGTATCACCTGTTACATTCCTCCTGACTGGCGTCTTGTGAATAGTATGATTCTGGCAGCAGTGACTGCGTGCTCTAGAGGTGGGGTATGGCCCTGATGAACCTAACTCTCTCAGTGTTTTCTGCCCCAGCGCTCCACAGTTCTGGGTTCTTCGGTGTTTTCCTGTCAGCGTGACGAATAGCCATGTCATTTAGCACACTATGTTTTCCTATTGTACCCGGGAGATGTCATTCACCATTTCATTTAGGAATCGGTTTCCTTTTATGCACAGAACAACAAAAGGTACATAAAGGGGACTATCTTGACCTGCCCAAGCCCTCCAGTAATGAGACTTCATGGGAGGAGCTGGTCAGTTCTAGTAAGCCCCTTCAGATCATCTTAGCCCTCTCTCTTTCTCCAGGCAGAGTTGTGCAAGCTTGCTCCTGCCTAGGCTAGCTGTTCCAGTGCTGCTGAGAAGCACTCACAGGGTTCTGCTCCACACTCATGTACTGTGATCCACAGACTGGGTACTGTCTCCCAGAGAGTACCCACGAACTCATCCAGGGCTGTATCATGCTGGGTACTGGGGAGCATCCCGTTGCCCTGAGACAGCCTCCAGGTGCGGCGACCTGTGGCCAGCTGCACCGCTCATCCTCGTGCTGACGGCTCATTTCACCTCCACTTCCCCAGCCATCACTCCTCCTTGCTGGAATTATTCCCCAAGCCCACTGCCTGCAGACAAACCTTTACCTAGAACTCAGATATCACGGAAGCCCTGCTAAGGCTGGCCCCAAAATGGGCAGAGGGAAAAGCTATGCGAACAGACCAACCAGCCAGCTGCCCAGGACTTACAAAAAGTGGATATGGTCCCTGTAAATTCTAGAATTACTAACGATTTATAAATCTTCTCATGCTAACAGAGGGTTTTTGGAAAGTGAGACCAAACAAGAAAGGGAATGTTCCCAAATCCCATCTAATAGTGACTGAGCTCCTCATTTATTTCCTGGCTCATCGGATACATATTTACTAAATACTTAACTGTGCTGAGGGTTATTCTGACGGCTGTGGACACAGGGATGAAAAAGGCAGGAGATCCTGAGATCTCACACATTCCGGGGAAAATAACTAGTAAGCATGGAAATACCTGGCAGATCCCACACTCACAGTGTGGAATGATGGGCAGGTCTACCAACTGTCATCTGAAAGACAAGGGGCCCAACCCTCTCACCCCATTCCTCTCCTGCTGGAGACTATGGGAACTCCTGTCTGCATCACAGGACTGTAATGTGTGTGTGAGGTGGGGGAGAGTATGTATATATTGGTTAAAGTAGGTGTGAATACATATGTGGGTACATGGATGCCAGAAGTAGATATACAATGTCTTTCCTCAATTCTGTCTGCCTGTATGGTTTGAGACCTAAAGCTCATCATTTTGACTAGACTTGCTGGCCAATGAGTTTCAGGGATCTGGCTGTCTCTGCCTAAAACCAAAGCTACAAGTCTACTCCACCTTGCCTGGAATATTTTAAATGTAGGCTCTGGAAGTCTAAACTCAGGACCTCGTGCTTGCATAGCAGGCACTTTACAGCTAACTCATCTCCCCGGGTCTAAAGGACTCCAATTTTAAGTAACAAAACCTCAAACTGAAACCCACATGCTTGGATCCTAAAGCCAACAGTTTGATGGTTTCTTTGTTCCAAGCTTCTGGTTGGCCAAATTTACAACTGTTGATCTCTCAGAAAATGGGAACTTGGAGGTGGGGGAAGCAGAGAGGCCCTCAAGCAGGGGAAAAGGCTCCCCTCCCTAAGTCCCCAAATCTGTCTCCTGGTACTACTTCTCTCTGTAGGGCAGTGACTGTGTGTCTGAGAATCATTGCCAACATCCTAGTGCTTCTCTCACTGGCTGGGAGCATCTATCTCATCTACTTTGTGGTGGACCGGTCCCAGAAGCTGGAGCAGTCGAAGAAGGAGCTGACCCTTTGGGAGAAGAACGAGGTACCCAGTCACTAGCAGTTACGCTTTATAAAAGCAGGTGCATTTAAGGGGGATGACGGCATTGCCTCCTCTCTGTTTCCTTGGTGAATTAGGCTGAAAGATTTCCAGAAATGAGTAAAGCCTGCTAGTTCTAGAGTAGAAACCGGGGCCTTCAGCTCCAAGAACATCAAGTCCTGGTGTGTACCTTAAATCCCATTAGCTGCCTCCATCCAACACTTAGGTAGTTTCCAGAACCATCCACACAAGCTGTTTGTGTATTGAATAAACCCCCATTGTTTGACGATCTCCATAAAAAAAAAAAAAAAAAAAAAAATTACCAAGCAGGGGGTTGTGGAGAATTTCAGAATTTCTAGTATTTCTGGTGACTGCTGTCATGAACATTTGGCCCAGTTTACCTGCCAAGATTTGAAAGACAAAAATAACTCCAAACCAGCTTTCAGATTACTCTGATAAAAAATAACTAGCATTCATTTTCAAAGCACGGCTGTCCTGTGTGTGCTCACCTGTGCTCAGGGTGTCCTCTAGAATCTGGGACTATACCAGGCAGTCTCTCCCACATCTCCCTGCATTTTATACCAGCTATGTGGGTTAGGGAAATCTGTACCTTTCTGCACATTTATAAAGTGGCAGCTTTTCTAACATCTGTTTGGAAGTCATTTCTTAATTTAGCTCAAACATTTTGTGCATACCAGCTTAAACTCGCCTCTCTTTTGCCTTAAGTCCAGACACGCAAGAGCCAGGCATGGTTATCCAGATAATTAATCCCCTGCGTACAGAGGGATATTCAATTACCTCTCTGCCTTCCCCTTTCTGATCGTAATAATCGCAATTATTTCCATCTTCCATCCAAGGTCAGGGAGGTATAAATACAGTGAGATGGTGGTTAGGAAATAACAGAAATGCTACTGAAGCCCAGATGGCATGCGTAGGTATCGTCATGACCCGAAAGGAGTGTTCCGGGAAGGAACAAAGCATGATGGCATGGTGAACTGAGGGTGAGTTCTGAAAAGAGGGATAACTCTCAGAGACTTGGGTAGGTTTCTAAACAGGGGCTTGGTGTCCCTGGGGAACTACCATTCACATTGGTACGTGGCCAAATACAAAACCAAATGGGGCTGAGCGATCTCTGCTGGGATGAGGAACTTGAGCATATACTCTCTCCACAGGTGAGCGTTGTAGTCTCCCTTGTCACCATGCTAGCACCATCTGCCTTTGACCTCATCGCTGCCTTGGAGATGTACCACCCACGAACGACACTGCGCTTCCAGCTAGCAAGGTATAGCATCCTGGTGGGAAGAGCCTTAAGGTGGCTCATTAGCCTCATCAGCGACCCGCAGAGGGACTGGATCCCTGCAGAGCTAAGGCATGCTTCTTCATCTTCTCCTCCACACTCAGCATAGAGCTTTCCCTAGGCACATAAAGAAAAGCTCGGGGCAATAGGAATGAAAGGGAATGGGAGAACAGAATGATGCAGGTTACACAGCTGGAATTATAGGTAATGAAGAAGAGGAAGCAGAGGAAGAGGAGGAGGGACAGAGAGGAAGAGGGGGGAAGCTGGTAGAAAAAGCAGCAAGATGATGGAATGCATGTCTGGTTTTCCTCATTATTGAATTCCCCCTATGGTTTGACTCTGAGTGGTGAAATAGACCCTCATTGTTTGCCAGACATGAGAAAGACAGCCCCTGCTCTGCTAGTAACTACCCAAGCACAAAGTTGTAGGATGCTATGGGCTATACCAAGACAGCCAGAGGCTGCCACAGCAAATGTCATAAACGGATGTTGCCTGAGCAGACGCCGTCCAAGGGAATATCCTAAGACTGCCTCCTGGAAAGTTAGAGGCATACTCATGTCTAGCAAGTGCTTCGTGGATATCTTTCTGAAAACCTGCTTTTCTTCCCTGAAGTTCTGTCTCCTCCACTTTAAGTGATGTGTTGGTAAGAAGAGAGCATGGTATAGGAGGTGCCAGAGCCCTGGTCATGTGCTCCCTACCCTGTTCGAACTGTCTTCTCCATGCCGTCTCCATTGATACTTTGTGATATTCCCTAAACCTCAGACCACTCTGAGAAGGATTGCTTCCACTTGGGAGTCAGTAGCTATCTTCTAGAAAAGATGTGGAAGTCAATATTTCAGATTCTGCTCTCTACGCATACATGTCTGTTCACACTCCAAGCTCCAAGGGCGGAGCATGAAAATAGCCACAGCTGATAGGGCCAAGAAAGGGATGGGGCTGTCTGCCAGCACCTTATTTACTAAAATAAGTGAGGGTATTGTTTGGCTTGAGGACCCCAGTTCCCTGACTCCTGAAATCCTACAGCCATAAAGAAAAAAAATAATAATAAAACAAAACACTAGAATGATCAAAGAGATGACCCAAACCCCACAGTATGGGATAGACCTTATCAAGTGTTAGGGAAGGGAAGGACCCTCACCCCACTGCTTTCTGTTCCACTGTACCTCTCCAGCCTGGATGAGAAGTACCTTCCTCAGTTCCTCCCTTGCCCACAGGCACTGGGGAAAATCAATTCCGTTATTGCATTTGGTGTAACGGCAATCCTATTACACAGATTGGCCTCGTTTTTCATATTCAAAACTAGAGAAACAAAGCCATAGAAAGATGTAACCCCAGACAAATGAAGCATAATTCTGGTAATAAGAGCAAGACATCTTATTTTAGTTCCATTAACTCGCCGGCAGACCATGATACCTTTCATCCAAGATGCAGGGAGAACCAGAGCAAAAGCCCAGGTTCTGCCAAGAACCGACTAACGGGGCCCTTCTTCCATCCGAATTCACCATGTACCATTGGAGGGGCCACGGCCCACACAGGCTGAGGCAAACGCAGAGGTCTTCATCCTGGGGTGATGTGTAAGGGAGCCCCTTCATAGTTTCAGAGGAAGAGCAAGTGGCAAGGGTGTCTCCTTGAGAAGCTTTCTGCCTACGCATGGAGTCACCTGCACCCCGTAAAGATGAGGAGGGTGGTGCAGATGTCTGAGTCCTCATTTTCACGTGAAGTATTCTCCTTATAACGCTGCTCCCCAGCCCTAGACCTGAGTCCACACTTGCACATCACTGGCCCAGTGAAGGGTCTGCAGAGACTGCTTTCCTTGTCCATCTTATCTCTTTAGACAGGTTTCCCGTAAGACCCAAGGCTCCACTGTGGGCAATGCCAGGAGGTGTTTCTATAGAAGAACAGAGATGGTGTTGATGGTGATGGTGTTCATGGTGATTGGCACAGGCTGCAGCAAACAGATTGCACTCTCTGGCAACTTCTTGCATAGTGTAACTGTGACATTGCCCTCTATGCTCCTATAGAGCCCAGGCTGTATTTCCAAGGGTGGGTGCTGAGATCTCTGAGTGACCTGCTGGCCCTCTCAGCCTCGTAGATTGAGCAACTCTCAGCGCTCCACAGTTCTGCTCACTCGTTCTTGAATGGAGAGTATGACATAATCTTGCTGAGAACTGAGAGGAATGATCCTGGGTAACAACAGACTTACAGGCCAGAAAGAATGGGCCACTCTATCGCCCACCGAACCCACACCCACGTTCTTTCTGCCACACCCGTGTTTCTAACAGGCTGGCCCAGGGTGGCTACTGTGGGATCTGGGAGAGATGTAGACTCCAAACCCCATCCACACCTGCTGAAGCTAGGTCATTCAAGCCTATGTTTTGTTTTCCTTTTTACATTATACTGTGTGTGTGTGTGTGTGTGTGTGTGTGTGTGTGTGTGTGTGTGTGTG